AAAGATCTCAAGAGAGTTTTTATTAGCTGTGAAGAAAGCTGTTACAAGAGTTTTTGCTTATGAATTCTGATCCTCTTTTTGGGTGATAATGAGAGACTATATATAGTACTTCTAAGTAAATGAGCCAGCTAATAAAATAGACCTGGCCCATTAAGCAATATATCTAATTTAGGCCCATTATTCAATTAAGCCCATTTTGCTTATGGATTTAATATCATTTTGGGCCTAGATTCAGACTGGGCCTTGGTAGACTTGCTTTGATTTCGTCAAGACGTTGTGGAGTTGATCTTATCGCCATATCGATCTCATAGGGGTGAAATCCGACCCCCACAACCTCCAACTCTCACCTCTTTAAAAGCTTTATATCCACAATGAGTTGTGGTTTGATTTCTAATAATATTAGGTCAAACTCTTTATATCCACATTTAAGGGGTGGTTCGATTTATAAGAATAGCAGATAAGCACTTGTGAATATGAATTATCGTCCTTCTCACTATCACACACATCACGCACCAGGCCGGACGGCTACTTGGTGAAAGCAGATTGAAAACGAACATGATAAAGGAGAAAGGGCTTTGTATTTTATTGATTCACTAGGATTAGACCCTTATTGATTCACTAGTATTAGACCTGCGTGTAGCAACGGATTTTCAATAAAGTACAACTGTGTTTATGTATTGTAATTGTTACTAGTACTAGGTGATTATCCGTGCATACGAGCGAGGTTATTTTAGTTCTACGAGCATAAAAGACAATCGTTTATATAAATCTATAAGTGGGCTAAATCACATTTATTTCTTTGCAACCTTAAACATTCCAAGTTATTACTACGCTCATTTCTTTGATGTGCATAAATTACATGTTGAAACTTATAGTGTTATACCCTTAAACACAAGATAGCATTATGAAAGCTAAGACTCGAGCCATCGGTTTAGCATTTCATATGATCCTAGCATTTCAATTGTATATACCACTATCCATAACTTAAACAACGAAAACATTTTCAAAGAATATTATTACCTGGTTAAAATTACAATGTGAAACTTTCAAACTCCACGAGAATAATGATCAATCTCTATTTTTAAAGCTCATGAGCGAGATGTATAACAAAACTGCATAAAAATATCAAATGTTTGATATCCATAACAAATTAAAAGTAAAAGCATGGGCCCAAGCTAAACAAAAACATTGATCATAACTTTTCTAATCTAATTTCCATCAATCAAAATGGGTCCCATTAATCTTTACCATTTTTTTAATCTAATTTCCATCAAATATTGGATCATTTGTAACATGTGAACAAAAAAAAAAAAAAATGATTGATTGAGTTTCAAGATAAACAGTGTAGTAGTAATTGGAGTTGT